TCTCCAGGGTTCAAGGCTGTGCGGGGCTCAGGATTCGGCTCTCCCCAGCCCAGCTCAGCCTGACAGGCATGTTCAGGTGTGGAGGTACCCCTTCCAAGACTGGAGGAAATGAGTCTCATGTGCAGAACGAGCCAGAGGCTGGGGGCAGCCACTGCTAAGTCTTCCCTAATGAGTGAGCAGGCTCTGCAGGACCACTTCATATTTTCACTGTTAGAAGCACAATTTTTCTGCTTTTAAACACTTTAATGGGGCTCCCGTTGCTCCAGAAATAATGATCCAAATCCCTAATATGATACCCAAGATATACATGGTCTCTCTCAATATTAGCTTCTGAGGCTGGTTTCAAATACCCAGCACAGGGCGCCTGGGTGACTTAGTCATTGAGTGTCTGCCTTTGGCTCAGGTCATGATCCCAGGGTCCTGAGATCAAGCCCTGCATCGGGCTCCCTGCTCAGTGGGAGTCTGCTTCTCCCTCTCCCTCTGACCTTCCTCCCTGCTCATTCTCTCTTTCTCTCTCAAATAAATAAATAAAAAATCTTAAAAATATCAAATACTGAGCATGTGTGCACAACGAGGTATCCTCACCCCCTATGTATACAAAACACACTCAGAGACACAGACATGCACACCCACAGGCAGATATACACACACACACATACATATAAAGCAGACACGCAAGACTGACACACACACACACACACACACACACACACACACACACACACACACACTTGGATGTTATTCCTTGTGAGTCCTGGGAGGCTCTCTACCCTCCTCTTTCTCCCAGGAAGGGTGGCCTCTGTATCCAGGCAACTGGATCCTGGTTGTCAGGCCAAGGAGACCCAGAGGCAATAATGTCTCCTAGAGAAGAGAAAGAATTAGGGCTCTTCTCTTCTCCTGGACGCTGCCTGGCATTGGGTGACTCTTCGGTCCTCAGCACCCACAACGGGTCAATGCTATGTGATCCTGGGTCCCTGGAATCCTGCCGGTGGCTCACCCCCTCCCCTCATTCTTTCTGCTCATCTACTGGAAAAGCAACGAACTGCTTACTTGATTTGAAAGAAGGGAAGTTTGAGGGGCCCATCTTGCAACTCTGCAGAAATCGAAAAACTGACTCAAACCGAGTGACTGAGTCAGAGACCGAGGTCCCGGTGTCCCTGATCCACAGAGCCTCCCCCCCCCCGGGGGGGGACACTTCAGGGCTTCTGTCCACGGGGCCCAGGTCGGGTTGTGGACCATATAGTAGCAATGGCCACTGGAGGGATGGGCAGGGAACACAATGCCTTTGGATCCACACGCCATGGGTTGGGGACGTGCTCTGCTGATGCTGTGTGGTGTCTCTGTGGTACCTCCTGAGAACCATTTAGTTAAAAGTGACAAGTTCCCTCATGTTTGAGGGAGAAGTGGTTGAGGAGTTAAGTGAGGAACCGGTTACAGATGCAAAGGAACTGAAGCTTTCTGTGTGCGGTTTCGGACTGGGTTGTTCGATTTGGAACTCAGCAATTTTCCTGGTCAGCAACTTCCCGGCGGAGGCAGGCTCTGCGCTGGGGCTCCAGACCGCCGCGGGGCCACCAGGGGGCGCGCCGAGCCCCGGTCTGCGGACCCGCGGACCCAGGCCGCTGGGCACCGCCTCCCCCTGACTTCCTGCCCCCACCCCGGAGGAGGGAGACAGTCTGTTCTGGGGGTCCCCACGACCACCCTGAGGTTCGATGATTCACTAGAAGGACCCGAAGAACAACTCCTATTGTTTTAAGCCACCTAGCCCGTACTACTTTGCTAGGGCAGCCCCGGTGTCGCAAAGACGTGCAGCGACTGCATGGTGACTTAAGTTGTTCAGATTCTAGCCCCTCCAGGGGTCGGACTGATCCAGTGCCTATCTGTTGTGGCCCATCTGCTGTGGCCCAAGGCCCCCAGGTAAACCAGGGCACTCTTACCAGGCAGGACATTCCAAGAGCTCAGGGGTTCTCCCCCAGGAGCCCAGGCAAAGGCCAGACCAATCTTTGCTTCAGGCTAATTCTTTACTACATGCATAGCTAGGAAACTGAGGAGTTGGGTTGCAGAGAAGCAGGGAGGCCCCGTGTATGCGTCTTGAATTCCTATGTTGTCCCAACTCTTCAAGAGAGAGATGCTCGTGGACCCAACCCCTGGGCGGTGGTGACCACGCCCCCCTGTCAGGGCAGGTCTGAGCCTGGAAGCTTCTCGCCAGAGCCGGCTACGTAATTTGTGGGGCCCAGAGCAAAACGAAAACGTGGGGGCCCTGTGACAAAAAGCAGGAAAAAGTTCCTTCCTTTCTTCCAGGGACTGTCTCTCTTGACCTGTGGTGTGGTTTGGTTTTTGAATCTTCTTTACACTAAAAAAAAATTTGTGGTAAAAAAAGCACATGAGATAAAATTTACCATTTAATTAATTTATTTTTAAAGATTTTATTTATTTATTTGAGAGAGAGAGAAAGAGCGGGGAGAGAGACAGAGGGGGAGGGATAGAGGCAGAGGGAGAAGCAGGCTCCCCGCTGAGCAGGGAGCAATGCGGGGCTGGATCCCAGGACAATGAGATCATGACCTGAGCCAAAGGCAGATGCTTAACCGACTGAGCCACCCACGTGCCCTAAAATTTATCATTTTAATGTATACAGTTCTGTATACATTCTGTATCATTTTAACTGTATCCAGTTCCAGAACTTTTCCATCACCCCAGAAGGAGACACTATACTCCCCACCCTCTCCTCCCCCAACCCCTGGGAACCACTAATCCACTCCCCGTTTCCATGGATTTGTCTCTTCTGGGCATTTCATAAATATGGAGTCTTACAGTATGTGGCCTTTTGTGTCTGGCTCCTTTCTCTTAGCATACTTTTTTGAGGTTTATCCATGTCATAGCATGTGTTGGTAGGCAGCACCTTTTTTATTTTTATTTTTTTAAAGATTTTTATTTATTTATTTATTTGAGAGAGAGAGAAAGTGAGAGAGAGCATGAGAGGGGAGAGGGTCAGAGGGAGAAGCAGCCTCCCCACTGAGCAGGAAGCCCGATGCAGGACTCGATCCCGGGACTCCAGGATCATGACCTGAGCCGAAGGCAGTGGCTTAACCAACTGAGCCACCCAGGTGCCCCTTTATTTTTAATTTTTATTTATTTATTTATTTTTAAAAAGAGTTTATTTATTTATTTGACAGAGAGAGACACAGTGAGAGAGGGAACACAAGCAGGGGGAGTGGGAGAGGGAGAAGCAGGCTTCCCGTGGAGCAGGGAGCCCGATGCGGGGCTCGATCCCAGGACCCTGGGATCATGACCTGAGCCGAAGGCAGATGCTTAACGACTGAGTCACCCAGGTGCCCCAGGCGGCACCTTTTTAAAAAAAAAATATTTTATTTATTTATTTGAGAGAGAGAGAGAATGACAGGAGGTAGGGGCAGAGGGAGAAGCAGACTTCCCGCTGAGCAGGGAGCCTGACATGGGGCTCGATCCCAGGACCCCGGGATCATGACCTGAGCTGAAGGCAG